TAGTTATTTTATTAATATACAAAACTTATATACATAATTTAACATTTTTAAAATCGTCCTCGTTTAAAAATATTTAAAATGGAATTGTATGAAGTTAATATAACGGAACTCAGCCCTAGTAAGCTATTGGAGTACTCAAAAAAATGTGTTACTATGCTTAAACAAAGAGACAAAGAAATATCATTGTTACAAGTAAATCGAAATCAGGCATATTTAGGTATGAAAGTCGCACAGAAATCTGTCAATAAACTTCAATTAGAGATGACTAAAATGGAAAAAAAAGCTATAGATGATGCAATTTTAATACAGTTGCTTTTGTAGCTAATTCAATTGTTTAGCTTTTACAATTGTTATAACTTTTATTTTTTTTTTTTCCAAGTATTCATTTCTTTTTAAGAGTGCTTGATATGAGTCATTCAGCGATTTTGTTTTATTTTCAATAATCGGCTTACTTTTTTGTAAACTATGATTATTTTCCCCAATCTCCTCCAATTTGTATTGTAAACATTCAGACAATTCTAAAAGTTGTTTTAATATTTCTTCATATTCACCATTTAATTCTTCGATTTCTTTTTTGCACGTATCCGTCAATATACGTGTATTATTATCATGTAGGGACCTAACTGATCGTAACTCTAGAATATGTTTTATTGAAGATGCAATTTTAATACAGGGTCTTAAAAACCAATTACGTATGCAACAAGAAGAGTTAACTTATCAAAACACCTACAATTCGGACGTCAAACGTTTGGAATGTGAATTAGCTACAAAAGCAACAGATTTAAAGTGGGAAAATCATAACAATGACCTTTTTTTACTGAATCATTCGCTTCGGGATGATTTGAAAAAACAAAGCGCACAACACACAAACGAAAAAAGAAATCTGGCAGTACAAAGTGTTAAACGTTTAAATGACAGGGCCAATGTGATAAAATGTACTGCAGCTCATTATTTAGTCGAATTAGATGAAGAACAAAAATACGCGATTGGCTTTGTTAAAAAAAAACATATTCTAGAGTTACGATCAGTTAGGTCCCTACATGATAATAATACACGTATATTGACGGATACGTGCAAAAAAGAAATCGAAGAATTAAATGGTGAATATGAAGAAATATTAAAACAACTTTTAGAATTGTCTGAATGTTTACAATACAAATTGGAGGAGATTGGGGAAAATAATCATAGTTTACAAAAAAGTAAGCCGATTATTGAAAATAAAACAAAATCGCTGAATGACTCATATCAAGCACTCTTAAAAAGAAATGAATACTTGGAAACGGAAAATAAAAGTTATAACAATTGTAAAAGACAATTAAATAGCTTTAACAGAGAATTATTACAGAGTATGAAAGTGCGATTAAAACAGATAACGCACGAAAAAGATTTATTAGAGGAAGAAAATTGTAAGATGAAACTAGACCTTGAAAAATCCGATGAATTCCATGACAAAAAAATGAGAAACATGGAAAGGAGATTCAGTATGAAAATAATGTTACTGTCAAAGTATGGGACAGAAATAAACGAATAGAGTGTAAATTTTTTTTATAAAAATAAAAATATAATAATATCTACTAGTTTTCATGTTTAAATTTTAATGATAATCTTATAATTAGCAATATGTATAATATTATTAGTTCTTGTAAATTATGTTATTGTCTTATTCACCATAAACATTGTTTCATAATTTAATCTATGGCCTAACCTAACATAAATTGGTTAAGGCACCCAATGCCAAGTTATTGTGTACACAAAAATACGCCCTAAGGGAATAATGATCCTGTTCTGTAGAATCAACAACATTTGATAATTTATTTTTTAATTAATAGAGGGTAATATTCTACAGGCCCCATCGAACTCCGTTTTTCAATAGTTTAATCTCCTACTTTATAATATATCTTTAAAATAGTAAAATTTTTAGCAGTTTTTTTTATAAATTATGTTATACCAATTACCATTATATGAAATAATATAAAAATCTGAGATCGATGCTGCCTGTATTAAGTCTTCTTTCAGATTAAAAAATAGTTATTAAAATCAGACAATTCTACAAGGCCTGAGAATTAATCCAGTGAAGTACTTTTTTTTTAACATTGATATAATACTACCTATCTGCTCCCTCCTCACATTAAATAGGTATCAGGAAGTAGATTATTAGAAAAGTATTATGCTTAAGGTGACAACTAAAATGTAAAATTTAATTTTCAAATTTTATAGAATTGCGAAAAATTTGAAAAACTGGCAACGAGCTAATAGTGTCACACTAGAGTGCATTGTGATTTTCTTGGACCTTCCCAAAATAAATACTTTTAATTTCTGAGTGAAACGATGAATGTATTGATTTTACAATGATATGTGTTTTTTTTTTTTTTGTGTCCGTGCACACGATAAGTAGTCGAAATAATGCTTCGATTTTCGACTTCAGTATCTTGTTCGATTGGAAAGTGAATATCGTTGGTGCATTGAGGAGGTCAAAATTTAAAATTCCCAGTACTTTTCAAAAGCGCCAAGAAAAACAAAAGAAAAATTAAGGAAAAACGGGAATTTTTACGCAAAATCGATTTTTCAGAAAATTGAATTTGGTTTTTAGTGTAACTTTAAAGCAAATGACCGTAGATACATGACATTTTCACTGGTTGTTTATATTTGCATTTTCAAACAATCGAAAGAAAGCGATAGTAAAGGTGTTGCACAGGCATCTATGTAGGTAGGTACTTTAGTACTTGTTCTTGTGATGGTTATGACACGAATAAAGGATCATCTTAGCGCGAATATAATAAATCCAACAATAAATAAACTATTTTTCTGTGTCATAAAATCATTATATAGAAAACAAAGTCAAAATTATTAATATCGGTTCAAAATGTTAAAATTATGGTTAATTAGGTACAAAAATAATCAGTCTGTGGACAAATCTATTGTAAAAAAAAACTCAAAATAATATTAGTTTAAATCGATTGAAATTGTACACATAATTTTTTTCTTCAAATTATGGTAAATTATAATATATTAGTATTATACAATCGAATCGATGTAGTTCTTACAAAAATTATTGTTAATAATTAATAACAATATTTACAGTGTATGACTAAGGCAATTTAATACAGTCGAAAATTAATGGGTATATAATATATAGGTACTTTAAACATACGTTTAACATAAATATTATTATTATTTATTATGTATTTAAAATATATATAAACATACCTATATATATCTTTGGTCAGTTGATATTTTGTATAAATGAACAAAAAATTACAATAATAAAATAAATAAATTATAATATGTAATTATAATAATTACAAATTTTACAAAAAAAGGCGGGTGGAAGAGGTAGATAAAAAGGAACAACTTATAAGTGTCAATTATAGTGTGGAATATTAAATTTTTCTCCAGATGGTTACAAATCAAAAAAGATTTTATTATATAGATATTAGATAACTACGTATAGTTACATTACCTAATCACGTAATTGTAGTTAGACACTGGATTTGATATTATGATGTAGAATTTTTTATAAGGTAAAATTGGTCCAATTTAACCCCAGACAATCACACTGTTTAATCGTTTATTATTGCTCATGATTTAAGTAGACTAAAGTATTTGTTAATGCGCAACGCATATCTAAATATCTAATAGGTGAATGATGATAGGTTTAAGAAAAATAATTTTATATTTTACATTAAATTAATCATTGGATAAGAATTTTTTAAATAAATATTTCACTGTACCTATAGTGAAAGCAGGTACGAGAATTTCGTTTTGACATATGTAACTAAAAATTATTTTAAAATTACTTATCGCCAAACAAGGTATGTATTAGAAAATAGCAGATATAAGACCAAAATGGATAAAAAAAAAAAATGGTTATAAATATACATAATATGTATTCGTATGAATTAAAATAAATCACGTAATTTATTTTAATGAGGAAAACAAAATTTATGAAATGTTTTTTTAAATAATATTATGTGAATAACATTAATATACGTGAAAAATTATTGGTCAGTTTTATTGCGAGATATTACGTCATATCGGGGGTCAAGAAACAATTGGAAAGAACGTTTAATTATAAACGACTACTTTAAAATGAACACACATACACAATTACACGCAGATTGCAAACTGCATGTGCACGCGACTGCGCATAATAATGTTATAAGTAGTATTTGTAATTTTGGTATATTGTATATATATAATAAAGTATTATAAATTTTTTTTTATGTGAGTAGCATAAATAAAAAGATTTAATTTACGATTTTTGGTCGAAGAAATTAATTTTTTTATGATATGATATTATACTTAAACGACAAAACATGAACGATTATTCGTAATTAACTACCTACTTTATATATTAATCATTAGTTAATATATAAAATGCTCTAAGGCGTCCACATAAAACTTAGCGTTTACGCTGATGGCTGACCAGAAAATGTCGATATGATTCAGAAACGCGCATTTCATGATTAGAATTAAATAATATTTAATTATGATGCTTCCAACGGGGTTTCTTTTAGACAATTTTTCATGGCCTCGGCAAGACGGGATGCGTATTATGTATTTATGTGAGACGTGAGTATATTTTATTATTGATTATCTGCACCCATTCTTCCTCCACTGTTCCAGACATTTGGTGCAGATACGATAGTTGAAACCCCATGATATGAATAATTGTATACACAAACCGGAAACCGAAAAGAAAAGTTCATACACATCGCACAAAAATATAGATTCAAAAGTGGCGTTGCCCACATGCAGTATTCAATACAAAGATATTATACACCTACGCGAAAAGGATCAACGTCGAAAAAGTGTTTGAAAAAATCCATATAACATATTATTGTAACAATAATAATACAAATATTATATGAAAGTATAAAGACGCTATCGGCGGGCGTGCACATCATATATTATGTATATTTATTTTACATATTATTATAATATTTCATGTACTTTATATGGACGTTACATGGACGCCGGGCGCCTTTGTAAGGACGATTTCAGAGCTCCGATTTGTTCCGCGACGACTTGCTGCTGAGATCGGCGGGCGTCTGGTGCGCCGCTGGCGGATTCGGCATCGGCAGTATGAACGGTTGCTGTCCGGAAGCCTGGAGCTGTCGGCCTAGCTGCCCCAACCGGAACAGTACAGCCGCCTGTTGCTGTGGACCGGAAGCGCCCGACGAATTGACCATGGCTGCTAGGTTCGAGTACACCAACTCCGCGTTGCTCGACGTTAATCTGAAAATCCCTGCAACGGTGGGAAAAAAAACATAAATTTCTTTCGTCATTCAACAACAGTTTGCAATTATAAGGACTACATAATAATATATATTTAACATATTTATCGTCAAGATAAATTCGGTTGGTTTGAGAATTCAGATTAATATAAAATATATATAACTATAAAAGCCATTGATCTTACGAGGACATTTTTTTTTTCTTCCCTATTCCCTGTCTACCTCAGTAAATCCAGTTACTAGTTAGCAATAATTAGTATAATAATGTACAAGAAAAAAATTCGTAGCATTTGAAGCATTAAACTTACACCAAAAGAAAGTTTATATATTCAGGTTACCTAGGCTAGTGCGTAGAAGTAGAGCTGTGTTAGTTTGTGGAAAATATTTAGGTTAGGTACTGATTTCCTAAATTTAGGAACACGCTGCTTCAAGAATGCAACACGCATTAATGCATTATCCTGCAGTAGTGCACTTATATTTGAATTCAGATTCGGCGGGATTTGTTGTCTTGTAATTTTCCAGTTAATCATATTTTATTATAGTTATTTCATCGAACGACAACCATTGCTGGAACTATAGTATACATTATATGCTTCACCGATACGATCATAATAATATACACGGACGAACAACGTTACTAATTTACAAAGCAGCACATATAATATTTATACAAACGTTCTATAACAGTATAGTGAGCTATAATCCTAGTATATTATACTACGAGTCTGTGATGCTACTTTATCGAAGCATATAATGCAATAATGCTAGTATCTACGTGACAAAAAGCCAAATCTATATTATTAGTGATAATAGTTTATCGTAGGATAAAATTCATTAAAATCAATGTATAAAACCCGGCAAATTGTCAGTCCACTATCAACTAGGTAGTATCCGGTTAGCTAAATTTAAAATTCTACTCGTTCGAAATTTGTGTTTGCACTAAATCATCGGTTTCGTCATTCCACATGACAGCAAGGGCGCACCCAATGGTGAGGGGGGGGGGCTAATGAGCCTAAGCTCCCCCCCCCAACTTACATTTTGATAATTTTATTAAGTATGGACTTAAAAATGATGATACAAAAAAATTATCAACTATCGAATTTGAAACATTAGATAATATTATAACATAATATTTATACCTGTCATTCCGGGAACCAGGAGAGACCTCTGTTTTCTATTATTATCGTGCACAAGCTTTCGGATTTCTGAACGTATTTGAAAATAAATAGGTACTATATTAATAATTGAAAATAATTTAATTTAGCCCCCACCCACCGTGAAAAAAATTCTGGGTTTTTCCTGGGTGCGCCCTTGCACGATAGAAACTCTAAGCAGTTCGTCTATAATAAGTACGTATCAAGTGCAGGGCTATGGTCCGCAATCATATACAGACTATATAAAATATAAATGTTCTTGGATTGATTTTATTGCCGTCGCATGAGTCATGAGTTCCGTTTTTACGGTCGATGCGTAATTATAAAAACGACATGCGAGTAAACAGAGCCGATGAGAAGAATCTAAAGACTATTTGGGTAAGAAAAAAAATAGAAATGTTATGTACGCGCTAATAGTATAGGCACTGTTGCGATAAAATGTTTAAAAAAAAAAAACACTCTTCGTCGTCATTATACAATATACATGATGTATGCACACATCTGCTTGTAGTAATAATTGGCAATAAAAACACATTTCAGACGCCACACACAGCTATATAATATATATATATAGGAATATACAGCTATCTACCTAGGTATAATGTGTGCACCTATATTATAATATATGTATATTCCGTCTATGATCACATTCAAATCACAACCCATCAACAATAGCATATTATAATATTAATATAGGTATTGTATATATGTATCATTATACATATAGACAGACGTAGGTACACTATACAAACGAGAACCCGTTGAATATTTTATGAGATTTAATGCATATTACGGTCGACCGAGCAATGTAAATAAAACGCCGTTTAAAGAATATTATTCGTCGTACGTGTATGTTAAATATTTTATTAGGCCGACCCGTGCAAGTGTGTGCGCTTGCCATCATAAAACGATTGCTAATGCGCGAGGTAACATAAAATGACGTAGGTATAATATATTATTACGTATATATAATCATAATAATAATGATAAATGATACTTATATACATATGTTGTATTATATTATTATGTACAATTTTTCAACGGTAAAAGTTTGGTCACAGCGAACTGCGAAGACTGAAGAGTGATATTATCTCATATATACCTACCAACGACTGATATATACTATAATAATATAACGCCGATTTCTGTGAGTAGGACGAAGAAAAATATTATAACGACATACACCTTCTACATATAATTTCGCGGTAGAACATCAAAGTTTGCAGTGTATTATACTCTGAGAAATTTTTTTTTTTTCCAATGATCGAAACTCGTTTCTAAATTTATCGGATTTTTTTTCGCCTTCGGCCGTTTCGCGCAGTGTATACATGCTAAGCCGCGTCCACACTAGAGCACGCACAGACCGAGCATGTGTACTAGAGCACGCAAGAGCGATTTTGACGCACGGCGAACGCGAGCCGATCTAGTCGGCTCGCGTTCGTTGTGCGTCGTGAGCACACATGCTCGGTCTGTGCGTGCTCTAGTGTGGACGCGGCTCTATATATTATACTGCTAACGATATAATTCGAATGTACAACAAATACGATATATAATATTTTAAAATTCATGACGAACCATTGTTTGTTAAATAATTCCGTTGCATTATGATTGCGGGAGAACCTATATATACATATAATATAGGTACCTACCAAAGTACTAAGTACAATACAAATGTACCGTTACGAGCGTGTGTGCAGCACCAGAAAAAAAACCCGAATAGAATTACTGCGCGATTAATATAAAATAATATAAGTTAACCACCGCGTTCGACAGTATTCATATATCGACGTTGCTCTATCTGTATATATATACACTAAAGGTAGTACTATATATATATCTACACATGACGAACAATATTATAGTTGTATTAAACGTCGACAGCAACGCTACTTGTCAATGCGCGATGTGTTTGAGGAACTCGCAAAATCATCTATTCACTCTTCATTCATCAGTGTGACAGGAAATCAATGATGGGGCCACTTCCGCAGTCCGCACTAAAAAATACATATTGTATTATATTTTATATATTATACACCTACAAAAATAACGACGACGACACAACCGTATTTCGTAATGACTCAATCGCAACAACTATTACGCGGCGCGCGCGCATGGATAATTTTTAGAAACGTTTTTTTTTACGAATTTTGTATATGTTAAGGATGATACTATAGCCACTAGGTGTGTATAGCTTATAGATATAATAAACCATAGATAAAGATCACATGTTATAGACAATATAATATGTAAATATAAAATAATATTGATTCCAGACTGCATCGCCGTTTTCTACTCTGGCGGTATTTTTTACCGCATTTTTGACATCTATAGTATAATAATATTATGTTTGTTAAACATTGAAGATTGTTATAGCTAGTAGGTCGTGTTGGATTTTAGTCCAGAAGCTAAGTATATACCTTTTGAGTTTGAAACTTTCAATCGATGACCTATTTTTGTACAGTTCAAATATTATTATTTATTACAATTGGACACATATTATTTTATTATTATTATTATTATTATTATTAAAATATACCTAGTAGCAACTTTAAAAAAGCATATTATTTTGTACGTTAGAACTTTTTATATTTTCATATAAAAATGGGAAAACTTTATTTTAAACTAAGTAAATATTTAAACAAATTAAAACGTTCTCATTTATATAGTTAAAATATATGTCTACAAAAATATTTATTTGAAAAAACTAGTTAGGAACCAGTGATTAACGAGAAGAAACACGGCGGTGCACCCTAGCCCCAGCTGTATCTTGTTATAAATTATAAGAAATATTATTAAAAAATAAAAATGGCTGAACAGTTAAAAATAACATTGTACAGAACTTAAAAATAGGTCAACATATAGGTATGTATACAATATGTTATATTTCCATGTGTAAAAACCCATTTAAAATAAAAAATGTACCGGATCAATATTGAATATATTAAATGTTTAGGGACAAATTAAATTATAAAATACATAAAATAATGAGAAAAATAAGAAAAAAGTTAATTTATTACATAATATATTATTTATTGTTGAACGTTGGAATTAAACAATATAATAATCATTTGAAAAATAGAAACACAACTTTAGACTATTATAATATTATGTACCTAATCATAAAATAATGACAAAATAAATAGTACAAATTGAATTGGCCTGGACGCCTGGTGTGACTCGGTGGTTGACCTTAGTCACTAACGTGTTCTGAGGTCAATCATCGGCGTCACTAGTTTCAGGATGGGTGACCGTTTTTAGCGACGAATCTACGCACAACCTACACGTGTTCCTCAACCAAATGTATCCCACCACAAAATGCTTAAGATTAATAAGGAAAAAAATATTTAATTTAAATCTTTATATTATATTTTTGAGATAATATTAATATACTTAGTTTTAATAGGATATATTTCTTATACATACTTAGACAATTAAATCAACCAAATACATTATTATTAAAGACTTATCACATGAAATTTTAATGATAAAAATTATATAGGTTACATTACCTATGTGGGTTTCTGTTCGGATTCTAAATGGTTTTTATAGGTTCCAATTGTTTCAGGTGCAAATCCTTGAATAGATATAACATGACAAACCTAGCAGGCCCTGAGTACACGTACTTTGATCATTAATCTTAAGATTTTACTGTTTAAGTATATTATTTTTTTATGTTTAATCACAACGATTAACAACATTAATCATAAAATAGGTACATAAAAATGTATTTTCCTCCAAAGTTGTTGATATATTACTTCACATTTAGCTGAATTAGTTACTAAAAGCTATACTGGAAAATTCGAAAAATTACCTTTTGAAGTATGATCTGTATTCAAATTTTAAATTTATAAAGAGGTGTTGAATGGAATTTCAATACCAACATTAATTATTATTGCTCTTAAAAAAATTAAAACCATGTGTGATATACCATCCAGGATCAAAAAAAATTGCATTAACTAGAGAAGATCGGCAACGAGACCGGTCAGCAACCAGAATTTCAAATAAGTGTCTATAGTTATAAACATTATAATTTTATGAGAATAATACAATTTGTAAACATGTGATTTCTTATAACTAGTTGAATAATTCAAGATGCGTTACCTGAACAGCTTAAGTATCAAAATTCTCAAGTTAAATTATTTATATTAATATCAGCACACACATACCAACTATCGACTTTAAAACGTCTAATCAAATATGAAAATGATGTATTAAATTTAAAAAATATATACCATCCGTTTTGATTAATCATACTGAATGACTGTAATAGAACTCAAATGCTTGAATTTGTTCTACACCGTGTGAATTTTAATTTCACAAAAAACACATGTCTGACATTGACAACATAGGAATTTTAATGTTTACATTACTTTAAAAACAGATTTATCTCATTGTCTTGGTGGAAAGATTAAAAATATAGTGTTGTTTTCAAATTAATTTAGTTAAAGAATTTTGTGTTTAGTATATTAATCTACACATAACAGGACCTAGGCAGTGTTGTAAAGTATTTGAGTAAAAGTATTTGAGTTAAAGTATTCAAATACTTTTTTCCGTATTGAATACTTTTTCAAATACTTTTATTTTTGAAGTATTTGAACGGTATTTTAAATACATTTTTTTACTATTGAATACTATTTTATTGAATACTTTTTTTATTCCTTCAACTTTTTATTCATTGTCAAATAATAATAATGTCTTAATAATATTATAATATATATTTATCATTTATGAACAATTCTATATTGGTTTTAGTTTTCGTCTATTAATAGCTAATTAATATTAGTTACCTACTCTGAGAAACCGTCTGTTTATCGTCGACACTCGACGACGATCGGAACGGTACGTTTCGGTACCTACTACCTACCAATAGAGTATATTATCATAGCGAAATACAATACGAACATTAGGTAGGTAAGGTATGTCGTATACGTACGTATTTTTTTGTTTTGTATTTGAAAATTATTTCAAATACTTCTAAAAAGTATTTGAGTAATACTCAAATACTTTACAATAGATAGTATTTGGGTGGTATTTTAAATACTTTATTTTATAAGTATTTGAGTATTTACTCAAATACTTTTTAAAAGTATTTTTTACAACACTGGACCTAGGTAATAGGAATATATCATGGTATACATAAATTATATATACTTGTTAAAGTTTATACTTTATTAAACGATTTACTAATTACTAGATAACAATATATTAACTTTTCTTCATTGTGTCAGGAAGTATAGGTTGTTAAAAGATGCAACCAAGGAAAGAAGCAGTAAGCCAGGAACCCGCAGTTTGCAGGTTACGCCACTATATTAAAATATATTATACTTTACAGGTGCGCGGGCGTACTAATCACAACAGTATTATACGGTAGCACCAATAAACCGTAATATTTATGTTAATATGCCATAATAATATAGTGCCCAACGAATAAAATATTAATAATAATATGATCGTGGTATTAAATATCGTAGAATAAAAATAATAAAGCGCATTCCATATCCGATTGCGGGAATGTATATGCAATATAATAATGATTGTCGTATACGATGCGGATACGTATATTTACGCGGGCACGCGTCTTATAGAAACATTTCTCTCCTCTACACTCATTCGTCCCCTCCCAAAATATCATCAGGTCTATTTATTTTCACATTTTTTTTTTATTGTTATTTATATGCATATACGCACTATACGTGTATATACGGCGGCCGATTAGAAGTAAAAAAAACACACATGCACGCGAGAACGGGCGACAATTGTACCTGCCGGTGAAAATCCAAACAATTACATACGTCCTAAATGACACGTTAAATTCTCTTTGTCACGAAGTACTTGACACTTCGTCGACGTCGTTGTCGACGACGATGGCAACACAATATAACCACATAACATTGATGTTGGCCATTGAGTAGGTACATACCTATATTATATTATTATTATACTTGGAGCCCGGCGGACGCACCTCACACATGGACGTAAAGATAAAATAATAATAATAATAATAGTTATAAATTATACATAATATCACATTTTAGTTCTACACGCCACACGGTCATTCAAATTTTACCTCACAAACTATATATAGTAGAAATTACATTAGGTATTCTTGTGTAATCTCCACATTATTTATGTAACGATTAGAATGACTGTTTAATATTATGTGTACGTTTTCAGTGTAAATATGTAAATAACATAGGTGCTACAAATAGTTTCTAATTTAATTCGAAATAAAAATAGAAATTGCGACATGTATTACTGTCGTTGTCTTTTCTATAACTTTATCGCAGCGTATTGTGCAACTCAAAGTATACAGAGTAATCTATTTGATAGTCTGCACTAATTATTTCAAATTATTTTATTTTTTCCACAAATTTGATGTAATTGAAAAACATTTTTTAAATCATTATGGCAAACCCTTAAATATATCAATCTGTATACCTGTAGTGTAGTAAATATTACATAATTTTAAAATGTAAACAGTACCTATTTGAAGTTATATCTAATTAATTTCTAGCTTAAAAATTGTTTTTTTTATGTAACGAAGTAGGTACGGCAAAAAATATTCTTCATCGGAATATAAAATTAAAAATATATTACTATTTCATTAAAAAAGTAAACATTTGAATAAAAACGATAAAAATTGTATCAAAACTGTTGTTTTTCAATGATATAAAATTATGAAAAATAATATTTTCAACCAACATTTTTACTATAATTTATCGAATGTATAAACGGACGTTTTGTTTTCAGTTCACATACAACTGCAGTATACACTCGTCGACAGCATATTTTGATGTGGTCGCCGGTCGGTGTTAGAATCATATGAAAAAAATTTTGAGAAATAATGAAACCATGATTTTCTCCCAAACTTCAGTCACCTATGTCAAAATATAATATCTATGCATATTCAGATGGATTCGAGGTCCCGAGATATAAAGTTCAAGGATGATCACAAAAGAACCATCACCGCGACCACCATCGCCTGGTGTACAGCACACGTTGACAATATACCCATAATATTATTATATTGTCACGCGTTATCCATTGGAAAATCACCGCCCAGTCATCGTGGAATGTACCGTCGGAGAGAAGAAAAAGTATAGGAGAAGTTACGTCGAAAAGCACGGGACGCACACGATGTGGGTACACGCGTACGTTCGAGATTGAGAGAGAGGAGACGGAAGACAGATTAACCAAACATTACCAAAACCGACATCGTACGCACACAATGCGGTGCCGATGATTAGGCTAATTTGTGGCGTAACAATAATGACTTAACCAATATATCGACGAGCAGCAGGTGGCGGCCACGTTTTTACGTTCCAAAGAGACCTACTATACATAAATTCATCAGACGCTCACGTAGGTATTACACGCAGCAGTATTACTGCACTTGTCGGCGTGTGCCCGTTTAACGTGCCTTTAGTTTGCCTATCGAAATCGCCGTCGTCATATTATATAATTGTAATAATATTATCATAATAATAATAATAATAATACAGAATTAATTACGATAAACACAATTATTTTTCATCGGTTGAATAACAACATTTGTGGTTATCAACACTATTGTACATGTTAAAACGAAGATATTACATTGAACACGGATAGCGAAAAAACAGCATACGACCACGTTTCAAGAGCGTATATAAACAAAAAGGTTGAGAATTAAGGTATGGTAGTTATTTGAAATATAATTATATATAAACAATACATAATTGATTATTTAAAATAACAAAGGTAGAAAGTAGACTAGAAACAATACATAAAATAATATAATATAGTGGTATTTAGTTTTTATATCAAAACAAGGGTTATTTAAATTTAAAAATAATTTTAACAAAAATCTTAAAAATTATACAACCGCCATGAACAAACTTGGTAACTAATCCCGGATCTTCGATGATATAAAATGTAAGATTGAAATAAAGTTTATTTTTGAGCGATGTGGCGATCATAATACTCGAATGAGACATAATATTATGTTATTAAATAACATTAAACATAGTATTATTTATTTTAATACTTTGATTGAATGTCTTCGTATTATGATATAAGCGAGTCACCGAGATTATTTTTCGGTGAGTTTGGCCACTTTTTTCATCATGTTTCTGAGGTGGCCGAGTAAAAACTCTCATTACAGAAACGTGTGAAAAAAACTCGAACATGTGACCGCGAATAGAATATTGTAACTATACTCGCAGCGGTTTATCGGCGTCGACCGTTTCCGGTACACTTCCTGTCTCGAAGTTGGCGGCGGCGGTGTAAGTCCCCCCCCCCGAGAGGGAGAGAGAGAGAGAGAGAGAGACGGCAACGACGTGACAAACGACAAAACGGGAACGGAAGATGCCACGCGGTCTAGCTGCAGTGAAGTGCATTTTATTCAACAAACGTACGTCGTATACTATAATATACCTCACTAGGTACTATACAACAACTGCGGCGCGCGAGAGACACGGCTGCCGATTTAGTTTTTTTTTTTTATTTCCACGACAATATTATTCTTCTTCGTCTCGTTTTTTCTTTCGTTATTATTTTCGCGTCGTCGCGGACGGCCCTCCGTAAAAGGATCCGGTCCGGAACCGATAATGATACGAAACGTGCGCGGGAACGGACGCGAGACGAGAGATCGAGAGAGATGGAGGACGAAAGAAAAAAATCGACGAAGAGAACAACAATAATGATAATAATAATAATAATAGAACCCGTTGTCTACGAGTGTATAGAGGTACTTACCGGGAGACGCGGCGGCTGCTGCTGCTGCTGCTGCCGAGGAGGACGTCGGCGGCGACGGCGACGGCGGTGACCGTGTGGCTGGACCGGCTGCTGCGGGGGGCGGTGATTCCGATCCGCTAGACTCTGCGCCGCTGTCCGACGCTCTAGAACTCATCCCGTCGGTTTCCTGGAAACAAATCAAACACGTTTTTACAATATTGTTTTTTTTTTTACTATATATATATTATTATTTTCTATTCTTCCTACGCGCGCGGTCAATACGGATGATGACGTCCGTATCACGATGATATTTTGACTAATGCTATAGGTACCTATGGGTAATACGATATATTCCTGCAGTCGTCACTTGACATAATAGGTGTACAAAAAACAAAAGCAAATGTGTGCACATAAACGAAAAACCAACTCAACGTATTATAGTATAGGTGCACCTACCTGAATATTATAGTTCTGAAAACGATGTATATCCAGGAAACGGATATAGGAACTTTACAAAATCGTTGCAAAGACTCCTCCATTTCGACCAGGAACGAAGATTTTGACCGTCCGTTTTAAGTATCTTTGGAGTATATCGTCCGCCGTCAGACGTCCGTTAAGTTGTACTTATAGGTAATATTAAAATGTAAGCGTATACAAGTGTTACCTAATAATATTATGTTATTATATTGTATGGTGATGTGTAAGATATCTCTTACAGATGTATTGAAAACAAACGAAAACAGTCGATAGTACCTTGTTCACCGTGTTACTGATTTTTTACACAACAAATACTTAAGCTTAAAGATATTATAATATATCAAAATACGGATAACAAATATGAAATAAAAGGCCATTATACATTGGTTGGTGTTAAACAGAAAATTCATACCGAAAACCAAGTGATTGATGAATCACAACATTATTTTCGTGGAAAGTGATTGACCCGTCAGTGTTACCAAAAACTAATTAAAGTTTTATTAAAATCACCACTGCAGTGGAGTGCAGTGTCCCCAGACTGTTCGAAGTATTATAAATGTATGTATGAAATTATATTATAGCTTGTCATCGACATTCGTCAAAAACATGAAATACGCGAATCCATCAAATCGTAAATAATAATTCTTATCGAAATCAAAATTATTACATTTAGTTGGATTCGTTATTATATTATAATATGTACATGAATATCTTGAAGTGTTTTACTCCGAGTCGTTACTCTTTCTCAACATTTTAAATCGTACATACAGCAAAACTACAGATTACAAATTTTGTAAATCGACACTCGCAGATGACGTAGAAAAGACCATTTCAACGAATGAATAAAGGTAAAAACAATTAAAAAAAGAAAATATCTACATAGGTAAGAAGAATTTTGTGTAATCATATTCGATCTTTCGATAGTTTCACCTCACGACTTTTAAATCGTATGCATTCGTATACAGAATTTTGATGTCGTAATATTTAATAATTACGTATATTATAAGACCTAAGTAGGTAGGTACTCAATAGGATGAATAAGTTAAACATGTTATCATGTTATCAATGAACATGAAAATCCAAAATCATTTATCATCATAAAATAATTTAAAAATATTACATTACCTACTATCTTAAAACTTATTTAATACCTAACACTTAACCTAACCTAACCTGCGATATAAATATGCGTATAGCTGAGAAAAAAAGGAAATATTTTTTTATAAGTATTTCGAATAAAAATATTGTTTTACTTAGAGAGTTTATACTTACTATATATATTACATACCTATTCAACTATCAAAAGTTTACCATTTTAGTTCTCTCGATGTGATTTAAACTAGGTACATATTTTCTAATGCCCGAGGTTGATTTCCTTTTCAATTTAATTCTATAGCTAGGGACTACTAAAACACCTATTTATCAAACCTATTTTTATTTAAGGCGAAATTCAAATTAGTTTCAGTACAAACGATTATTGAACAAACACCTCTTAGCACTGTAATTTAATGTTGTCATTTATTTATTATGATCATTTTGCGGGCACGTGAACAGTTTAGTAAGTGATGTATTAAAAAAATAAATAATAATAATAATAATAATTAATAACGTCCCCCCTCCTCACAAAAAAAAATTGACCAGTCTAAATCCTGTTCTATTTAACAGTATAATGACTGTGGAAGAACATACCTACATTAATAAAACGACTAATAGTCTTTTGTTTTCCGAGTAAAATGAACATATAATTACATTCAAATTAATATCATGCTGCATTATGCTCTCTGAACATAATAACCTTTCGTGAACATTAAACAGAAAAAAACTAAATTATATTTATAGTGACGTCCGTCGTAATGGGTAGTAATTTTTCACCAGGTAGCTCGGACCAGTGTTTAGGGTGTGAATGTAAACGATTTGTTGTCAAAAATCTCTTCAATTTTCACATAATCCATCATTGGAGAATTACGTTACAATTACACGAGTCTTAGCATCTCTAGCACTGTAAATTATTATATAGGTATTATATAAATATATGAACACAATTATTAGTATACCTATAAAGGTACACTGCAACTGTACGTTGAGAACATAGTGAAGATAATTTTAAGTATTATTTTAATACATAACAAACTTACAATAAACACGTTGGTGCGTTAGTATAATACGCCTACAGCTCTACAAGATTTAACGAGTATACGAATAGCAACAAACAAAATCTCTAAGGTAAGTAGTTTGTACATATCAAAATAATATATGAATTATAATAATGTAATAGTTCTCAACTTGTATATTATATGGCGCATAATATTTTACATATAATAAACTCTCAAAAATAATTTGGCTCACGTGACTGTAGAATACACATTTATATATATTTATATTTATTATACACATATGCACATCCCATGTAACATGGTATATCGGAAATGCAAAATTCAGGTCGGTACCAAACTTCAAAATACGAAATCGCCATGTAGGTACACGTACTATTATAAATAGGCCTCGTCGCCATCAAACCCGACCGTATGCGTTCTTTATATAAAGTATAAACACTGTTATTTGAGCATTGCCATTTAAGGCATACCAATGTCCGTAATTTTTTTCTCGATACTCTCTCTCCCTCTATCCTCTCCGTCTTTTTTTCCCGTACACACATATAATAATATGATATACAGATGATGTGCTCGAGTGTGAGTGTAAGTATTGTATATAATATGTACCGAACTATTACACCACGTGCAGTGGTGCGCATAGAAATCAATGCGATAAAACGTAATGACCGTTGGCTTAAAAACTTGTACCTATACGAGACATTTTTGAGCACATACTTTGTAGAAGCGTGCTTTTAATTAATGACGGGACGGTCGCCGAAGCCACACGCGCGGTATTCCGGGTATGTTGGCACAGGTGAAAAAACATCGGTCCCGCGCGCAGACGTTCATTGCAATTGCGGTTCGAGTATTGTTTACAAATTTCGTGGATACCGACAATTGTTATTTTATTCCGATTCTCTTTTTTTGTTGTTTTGTTATACTTGTCTTTCTTTTTTTTTTATTGCTTTTATTATTATGCGCCTCCCCCACCATACTCGACGTACAAGACTAATGACGACGACGACGACGACGACAGAGACGGCCACTGTGCACGGCACGAAAAAAAAGTGATAATAAAACCCAATTGCGCATACAATGGAATTGCACTTGAAAATACCGCTCATAATAAAATACGTACGCGCGCGAGACCAAGACGGAGAGGAGTATATAGTAGTGAGCAAAGCGAGTAAAAAAAAAAATTTATATATAAAACGATCGAGAACAAAGACCGTCTGCTGCCCCTGGACGACGACGACGACGACGACGCATCGACGATTACCGATGATGTTGAAAAAGCCGATCGATCGATCGATCCCCGGACCAAATCCTGTATTTTTATTGTGTGTATACGACGATTGTGGGAGAGCGGCAACCGTGGGGGGACGTCGTCGCCGCAGACGGAACGGCAGACGGGAAACGCGCGGGAGGAAGGAACCGAATTAAACGTTTCGAAGAAGAAGGAAAGCCAAGCAAAAAAAAAATAAAAAATAAAAAATAAGAAATAGAAAAAAAAATTGCCAACAGGACGGCCGTTATTTATTATAGGTATGTGTGTGTGTATATATATATATATATATATATTCAACGGTCGTGATTGACACTCGGGGAATGTGGATCTCGTCCGTCTCCGGTGCGTCGCGAACTATACCTCGTCGCTATACAATATATACCCTACGCCGTCGTATATACCACTCTGTATATATACCAACCAGCGAGACCGATCGGCCAATATTGTCGTTGTGTGTATATACGTAATGAATGTGCGTACTATGTACTATGTACTTGTACGTACACCTATATAATATTATTATACCGACGCGGCCGCTGCAGTTTCTCGTCGATTGTTGTATGGGTACCTACCTAACTGCTGCAGCGCGAAACGTGCCGCGGGGGCGTCCGCATAATGACGTAGATAATAATATTATAATATAATATTTGTATATATTATTATAATAGCTGGTCTCCGATCAATATACCCAGAGAAGGCGGACCCTATCGCGTCTACAGCGGTAATTTATCTCGCGCATATAAACACCCAGTCGTCGTTGTGCATGCGCGAATAGATTTTCGAATGTACCCACGATATATAAATATATATTAAAATAATACATGAACAAAAGTATATATAGGTAGGTTACTGCGTGAGAGAAGATTGAAAAGTATATAATATGTACTTATTTTTTCTTTCTCTAAGGAACATTCGTTACCGTGGTATAATGTTTTATATATTATATAGGTATACTATGGTGAACTGTATATATTATAACATGTATAATGTATAATAATATTGGTATATATAACCGGAAGGACATTTATTTTGACGATTACTCGTTCGATAAAGGCGATAGACCTAATAGCAGACACCTAACGACGACAAAAACGGGTTATTTTCTAAGGTTTCACGATCATTAAACGTTTTTATATTTTCATTTTGAAATCGTACATATTATATACATTGTATATAAATATAGGTTAGATACAAGCCTATTATTCTATGCCATCTGTTCGTATATAAATAATTAGAAAACAAACATTTTAAGTGCAATATATATTAAATCATAGGAATATATATTTTATGCTTGGAAAATGGTTTTTATGCCACAAT